TCGCTTTTGCTCAAAGCTTCGCAGCTACTAGATCAATTTTCTAAAGATACAAATATTTTGTGACCCTTGCATGCATGTCAAAATTTCATCAGAATCCAAGTATTTTCCAAGTTATACGAGTAGAGGGATCAAGGATTAACGGGCAGACTCAGGCAAACAGACCGGCGGAATTGATGATCTACTCATACACATATATAGTATGTCATGTAACAATGAAAAAACACATCTCGTTTTAGAATGTTTTCGTGATTAGAATCCTTCCTCACCAATTGTAATTGGAAGTAGAATCCTTGAATAACAACACGGATAAACAAATGTTATCAGAGCCTAAATCACCGAATTGATATTGAAGTCTTTATTTTTTTTAATATCAGCAAAACCATTATAAAATTCCTCAAGATTTAAGAACGAGTTGTTGTCACTGAGTTTAATTTATACAGTGTCATTGATGCTTTCCGTAAAACATTCCGTCAAAATATCGATTTCGCTTGACCATAACGTAGCTGCGCATGTTGTTTAATGAAGTCCCTTAGATAAGAGATATCGAGGTCTCTGAAGGGTCTCAATGGAGTCATACCATGGGGCGTTGGTGATTGTACTTAAGGTTCTTTTCTGTAAAACCTGCAAATCTGTTTTGAAGAAAAAACACCAAGCCGCACATGCGTATCTGATCGGTGCTCTAATAACAATCTTGTATGACCGAACTTCGCTGGTCAAACTCAATTTTGAGGTTCTACATGGCACAGGGCAGGGTTGCCGAAACGTAATTTGGAATTTGGTATGCTTCTGCCAGATCACCCCCTTATTTAGAGTGACACTAAAATATTTGGTACAATTTTCCTATGATACACTAGCTCCGTTCACTGAAACCTCAGACGGTGCGCCGCTACGTTTTTCAGTACAATAGATACCCTGCGTTTTCGGGTGACTTTACAGTTGCTGGGGCAAGGGACGCCATGAATAAAAAGTGAATAACGGTTTGGCCCTAGGATCGAACCCTCACAAATTTCATACCTTTAAGGAAGGATCTCAAAAGCTTTAGGTACCAGAAAGCGATGTCCTTCTGACACACTTGTCAAATGCTTCTGAGACATAGAGAAGCAAGCGACTTCGCTAGCTTCTAGAGAGGAATACGAGTACTTGAGTCAAGCATCCCCGCCTGAAAATCGCTCCATTGCTCATTCCTGAATTCAAGGAGAGTATTTCTCACTTTACGAACAAGATTCGTCGCTGTTCGAATGTCATCAAGGTGGACGGGCATTAAGGTCATTCCCTGGCCATTTATGTTAACAACGCGCTTTTGTTCTTCTTGTATCAACATTGCTGATATTGTCTAGGTATTGATGTCACTTGCTGATCAATAAAGTTTCCCGCCATATGACCTACTATCGTCATATGTCCAAGAAAAGCTAAAATAATAAAAGTTTTTGCTATTCATGGTACCAAAAGAATACGATCAAAATTATATCTTGACAATATTTAGACACGCATGATTCTGTACTTTTTCCAGATCTAATATGCTAATTATGTTTGAGAGATTTTTTTATCGAAATAATCTCCGTATACGTTGAAGATGTGTCATAGAAGAACTTTAGACGAACGTCTAAGCGTACTTACTTGTTCTCTTTTCAACCTAACGAACTTGCATCAACTGTCACATCCCGTGATACATGGGATCCCAGCCTGTGATCGATATAAGAAAGGAACATGCAAAAGACATATGGAAAATGGATCCCAGTCGATTTGTCTAAAAATTCAGTATGAGATATTTCTTGCCGTCCCGAAAAGAAGTGTCAATGAGATCATAGCAATCTTATGATCAGCTTCTGAGAATTCAGAAAACTCAATAGGACATGTAATCTAATAAAAATAAGATAATTTACATGCGAATGTTGATGCGCATTTCAGATTGATCCCTGTTTCAGAATCTAAAATTTTAGAAGCCTTCAATATAATAAATGCTCACCTTTTTGGTCCTGATCGCCTTAATCTTAAGCTAATTGTACCATTCTCTTTATCGGCTATCACACGCATAGTTAATTTTTCTATTGAAACTAATACCGTACCTGTTCAGTGGAAGATTGCTAATGTTACTCCATTGATTAAAGTGAAAAATCCAGAACAACTAAGCGACTGCAGACCGATTAGTACTCTGTCTTTAATATCTGAAGTACTAGAGCGAATTGTATATGATCAAATGATGGGTCATATTAAAAACTACCAGTAATTACCTTCCACTCAATCTAGGTAGAGGATTCATCATAGCACCGTTACCACATTACCGGATGTTTGTGATCATTATCTTAGAACAATAGATACTGGTAATGTCACAACAGCAATTATGCCTGACCTCAGGAACTTTACTGTTCGCGTCATAGCCTTCTGCCTAGCTACCTGCATTATCTAGGTTTTACAGAGTCTACTGTTTTATGGTTTACCAGCGCAGCTTTCCAAATAGATCGCAGAGAGTGAAGTTGGGCAATTATGTTCCAAATGACGAATTTGTTTAACATGGGTACCGCAAGGTTCCATCCTTGGGCCCATTTTGTTTACTTTATATCTTTCAGACTTAGCTACCGTAGTAAATCACGTATCAATACATTCTTATGCAGACGATCCGCGAATGTATCTCTCCTATAAACCTAACCAGGTCGCTGTTGCAAATTTACAACTTTCGCATGATGTCAACAACATAGTCTGTAGGTAAATCTGAAAAACTGGGCAATTATAACGTTCTCATTAAAGCATAGTAGCTTTAGTGATGAGGCAGTGAAACTTTACCTAAGTGGGGAAGAACTTGTTCATAAGAAATGCGTTCGCAATCGGAGTTTACTTTGATGAGCACCTTACATTTCATGAACATGTAACTAAGACTGTTCAAGCATCATTGCTAAATTGAAAACTTTCTATAATATCAGAAATGGGTTGTCAAAGTGCACCGAGATTAAACTTACTAACTCCCTTATACTCGGCAAGGTTGAATATGCTGACTCTGTCTATGGTCCATGTTTGACCCAAACGGGAGCCCATCGGATACGGTCACGGTCTAAGTAGATTCGAAAGAACAGCTTCCTATGTTAAAAGTATTTGTTGTACTTACGATGAGACAAAGATGGACTTATCACCTGATCTGTTTGGTTCATTCGGCGTTACTAAGGAAATAACTACTTTACTTGCACGAGCTTTGAGAATTAACATCTATAGTATTAATTTTTAAATCTATGGGTCACATTTTGCATGTTTCCAAACACAAAACAACAGCTTTTAAAAACTCTTTTTCATATCTAGCATCTAATTTATCCAGCAGGGTCCCTCCCATCTATAGAATCAAGTCTGTCAGAGCATTGAAATCTGGAATCAATGATCTGATACTAGCCACTGGTTTTGTTTGATTTTATTTGATTTTAAATGAATATGACTATGTGAGTGTTCTGTTTGAGACTAGAGTCTATGTATATGTTTAGACTAGACTCTATGTATATGTTTAAGATAATTTCACTCCATCTTATTTTTCCTCAGTAAGAAGCAATTATCTGATAGTCTTGTAATTAATAATGGGCATTACTTCAGAACTAAATCTGATGTTCCTAGGCATGAGTGATTTTTTGGCATGCTCTCCATAATACTGGAGTTTGGTTATCCTTAGAAAAAGTTGACTCAAACTATTCGATATATCTCCCAAAACAAGAAACCTCAAATCAATTCAATAAAATACAATACCCTCAAGCTAAGATAACATTAGAGCACTTTTTCTTTCCCTTCCACCTTCAAAATCAACATTTCAACATTTACTTAATTTGAACTTGTAAAAATCATAACTAAAGTAAAGGAAACAACCACGACATTGAAAAAATACCTGATATACTGAATTTCCTGAATTCTCGAGCAACTAGCCTATTCCAGCAAACACATACGAAAACAAACTTGCTCTGAAACTGATCACGTAACGAACCCCTATCGGCACATTCACCAGTTTTTCAGAACAGGCAAACTATCCGACTATTCCTCAGACCATCGTAGGATTGCTTGGGTTCCACTGACACTTGTTTGGAAATAACAAACAAACTTATTCACAATTATAACCATTTCTTACAGTAACTCATTGAAACAATAAATGTAATTGCAAAAAATGGCCAGAAAAACTGATACAAGCTGACCCAATTGAGGCAAAAGACAAGAAGAGAAAAATAGCGGACGTTATTTCAATGCCAATTAATATATGCATACGTAATATAATTTTTCAGTTTGCAATAGATACTTTTTGTAGTTGACTTTAAATGATTTGGAAGATAGATTCTTTAAATGGAAGGGAATAGCAATACATCTTCTATAACTATTAAATGTAAATGATCTGTCAAATATTGAATGTCGATGTAGAGTGTATGTGTATAATACCATATTTTTTTAGACAAATCGATTGGGATTAATTTTCCATATGTTTTGTGCCTGGTTTTGAAGAAATATTGAATCTGCTTAGAATGGCTGATTTTCAATGGATTTTGACATTGATCCTCTCGCAGCTAGTTTCGATGTCCCGGACCTCGAAGTTAAAAAATGAGATTGCTTGGGAAGGACCATATCTTGTTGTCAAGAACAGACATTGATGCAAAGCAGATGAAACTTGTTGACAAAGATAGCTAGATGCCTAGGTAATTTGCCGTCTAGAAGAATTTTGAAAGTTCTAAGATTGTAGATTATTTCATTTGAAATGAGTACATACATTATATTTTATGTGAGACTCAAGGGACGTAAGTGAAACTACGTATAGAGTTATTCATCCTAATGTGGGAAATTTCCAAAATAACTCCGGTTAATGGGATTCCCACAAAACTGAGTGATCGTTTCACATGTTTTTATCTGGATAACAAGTAATCAAATCTGATTCTGATTGCATTCATGTTACGGGGGTTTCACCGATAAGCTCGGCTTTTCATGATCAAAAATATATCTTTCATACAATAAATCACAAAATACAGAACAAGGATTGTTTGCATACATACCGGCTCCACAGCAAGCTGTCACCATCAGCAGAAACACCAGTGTGGTCTTCATCATTACCCGCAAATGTTTGCTGTTCGACAATAACACCGTTTACATTGTGAAGCCTTCAGCGTTTACGATGTATGACCGCACGTGATGGGGTAGCCGGTGAGAACGGAGTGAAACTCCCTCATTTCAACACGGTTGAACGTGAACTGACTAAAGGAACGTCGTCCTACGGCGTCGGTTTGGTTTTCGCGTCGGGACGTCTCGATCCCGACCACCAACGTTGCCAATTCCGAAATATTTATATTTCAATTTCGGACTATAGCGGCAAAATCTGTCACGCTTTGACTGGACACTGTTGTGAACCATATGATGTTCAAGCTACGGTAACGTTTTCAAATACCCGGCAGGTTTATTACGTATCTTGAAAAGTGACATTATGGCCCGGTTTTTCGATCTCTGGTTCAAGTCAGGTAACTGTAACGTGGAAATTAACTATTATTTGCCTGTGAATTCGATTTTCAAGTTGTAGTTAACAATCAATAACTCGTAGGTGCAGCAGTGCTGATTTTATGCCTGAATTATCGTGTTCTATACGTTTCGTAATGTTCAGATTTGTCTCTCGTGTCATCCATGACAATTAATTTATATCACAGACAGCATATTATTGTAGTGCGGTTTAGCTACAACTGTACAATTATCCCATACATGGTCATCTAGTTGAAGTTGTCTACCACTTTAAGACAAACATGATAACTTCTGGTTAGCAGACAAGTTGCAGTGAACTTACGATTGAAAAACCAGGCTTAAGCCGTTTTTTTGACTTTATATAGGTTTCTTGTGATATTATGTAGGCTTTCTTAAAGATGCCAACTTGTTGTTTACTTGATGTGCACTCATTGTGTAGCTGTACGTGTTCCTTAAACGATGACAGTTGAGCTATCATGATTTGGTTTCATGCCTCAAATATACTCTTACATGAGATGTAGGTTTCAGCCTGGAAATAAAATACTATGCCAACTTGCTGAATTTCAAAAACAGAGAGATAAGAAAAGAAAATCCCCTGTTGGTGACGTATGTTACAACTAAGAGGTGAGAAAATATGCTACAGGCAAGAATATTAACGGAACGTGAAATGGCTATTACATTTTAGATTATTGTTTATTTGGAGTCATTTAAATTTTAGAGAATTTTATTTTGCGATGTCTAGTAGAAAATGCAAATCAGCGCCTAGATGTCGAGGTACTGAGAAAATGTTTTGTGTGTGATTCTTCATTCCTAATTTTTCTGTGACGTGGCTCAATTACAAATAACGCGGGCGGATTGGTGATTTCCCATGATGTTTCTCGAAGTTTTTGAAAACACAAAAAACGGGGAAAATTGTAATTCATAACTTTGAGCATAAACTCCTTTCGAAAAGGACAACACAAATAACCCATCTGGTACAGCTAATAGATATACTTCATGGCCATTCATTAACAAGTTTCGCATAGAAGTATCACTGATTTTATACACATTTAGACCAATACACAAAGTCACCACATAATCACCCATATGCGATCTCGCTACTCTGCTACTCAACCAATTTTCTTCCTGTCACATCTTCTCAGATATATGTTCTACAGACTATCTCAGCATTCTGCAACCAACAAGGACATGCCGGCGAACTCACTTGCGACATGGCTGTTGAGAATGTCGTTGAGCCATTCCTCCATAGGTGACGCTATGGGTGACGCTCGCAGCACTTAGCGAGCAGGAGCGGGTTGATCTAGTCAGCTAGTTTTGTCGGTTTTCTTGACATTACATAGTAATAACCCCACGCACTACTTGAGTCGTTTTTTGTTTGCGAACTGCTCTAGAAAATATGCAGTGAAACCATGTTGGTGCTGAGCACTACAGGGTTGCTCCGAGTAATTCAGTTAGGTCCCTGGAAAGGAGGTCAGAACGACCATCAATTATCGCTGGGATTTGGGTAAGATGACATGATTTGCTGTGGGTTAATTCTTGAAATGAAGGACTAAATGAACTGAGAGAAAGTGGACTTGGTTCGGTCACCTTTCAGAAAACAGTATTCCTGAACATTTGTATAGGCGTTCGCTTTCAGGAGAACGGGTGCGGAAGTTTCGCCGTCCTCCGTCATTCTCATATCTATAAACGAAATTAACTTTGTAATAAAAGATTTAATGATGCGGAGAACCTATGAACATATTATTTCGCCAAAAATAAATGTACTTACAAACTTCTTTGACAAATGTCAACGGCTATCAGAATTTGAGGTCATAGTACGCTCATGAATTTGGTCTTGTGGGCTGATTCTTGAAATGAAAAAGTAAAATAACTAAGAGAAAGTGGGCGTGATTTTCTTACCTTTCAGGGAACTCTAATCCTGAACACTGAAGAGTCGTTCCCCAAGTTCTTCTCGAGAGGAAAAGTGCGGAGATCGCATTGTAGTTCACCAGTCTCGCATCTAAGGACAAAGTTAAGTTTATGATAGAAGGTGTAATGACATGAAGAACCCAGGAAGGAGTTATTTTGTTGAAAAATGTCAACAGCTGACAGAATTTCCGATTCCCAGGGCAAAAAGCCATGGCCGCTTTCTTTCAGTGTTTAAGAATAGGTGCCCTGGTACTTTGTTTTGAACTTGTTCTTTTAACACAAATTGTATGGCCTAGCAATGTAGAAGCACTGCAAATTATAAAAAATGGAGTCATGTGGGTTGACACTGCACTTCCTACGTAATATCTTCATTAGGTCGTAAATGTTCAGTGCAATTTAATTCCCTGAAAAGATATTGAGTTACGGACATGTAGGAAAAAAAAGACTTATCAAATGTATTAAGTCAGTCAAACAGCCCCTTACAGTTAGTCCATGGATATTGTTTCCCTGCCCTACTGGTAGTTACCGACCGTGTGACTACGTTGTCCATTTCCACATCTGCGCAGCATCTCTGCAGCGAGTTATCTTCCGGTTCGGGCAAGATCCGTATGTTTTTTGGGCTTCAGTACGAATACATACGAGTATATGAGTCGGATTGATTCGCCATGTAGTTCGCATTGATAGGCACGAGTACACGGATTGAATCCATGTCTCTATCGTTCTAAGTTTTAAAGGCAAATGTATGGGTAAATCTCTGTTATATCATTTAAATTCAACTTTACTTCTTTAAAAAATTTATTTGAGGACAGTAACTTCTGTCCGTTACAAACGTTTACAATTGAACACGAAGTTTACATAAGTGACTGTTACGGTGCCTAGCCGGGTAATGAACTACATGAAATGGGCGCAAGGCCTATTTATACTATTGGTGTGCTTACAAAGCACTTCTAGAAAATAAACCGTAAACAACGAGTTAGCGAGAAGTCGTTATCTGTTGCTGAGCTAGCGTCTGGTGCAACATTGTATGGAATAGTAAGTCCATTGTTTTGAGTGCATATAACAACTTCCCCCTATTACAAAAAGTTGTTGTCATGCGACAACTTTTGACAAAATTAGAAAAGTGTAAAAGATGTAAAAATTCAAAAATGTAAAATGTAGACATGTAAAATTGTAAGCATTGTAAAATAAAAAATATAAAAGTAGGACTAATAAAATTGCAAAATACAAATTGCAAGATAACATCAGAAAATATAGATTCTGAAAAATAAAATTGTTAGCATAAACAAGTAAATGCTGAAACAAAACGTTAAAAGCAAGGCGTACAAAAATGTCACTAAAAGTGAAAGGAAATAGATTTTTCACAATTGGAACTTTTCACTCACTGAACACTACTGTAGTTCAATTTCTTCTTCATGTGGTTGGATGGTTGGTCTTCGACGTTGAAAAAGCCTGGGGATGTATCTGACTTTCGACGTTCCTGGTGACGGTCCATCAGCTGGGTAATTTGATGCACAAATACTGAGTGGTCGGCGTTTTCTGCACTTGCAGAAGATGTAGAGGGCTAAGATGACGGCCAGCAGGGTTATGACGACGTATACTTTATCTGAAGTCACTTGAAACACTGTGAAAAACCGGGTGCGTTTTATATATCTATATTTAACACGCTCTGTTGCTGCAAAAATCGCCAAATTTCGCAGCAAATATCCCCCGTATAAGATCAAAGGCAGTTTCACCGGTCCACGTGGAGTAAAGTACGCCTATGCGTGGACATAGCCAATGAGAAAGCGTGTATTTCAGAGCTCCGAACAAGTGCAGGTGGCTACTGAAAATTGAAACAGTTTAGCCAGTGCCGTGTAGCGGTGAATAAACGTGTTTTCTTTAGTCTGTCCGTGTTTTTTCATAGATTTTATTAGTTTGTGTGTTTTTGACTTTTGAATACTCAGTTTACTTGTTGATTTAATTGTTGTGTTGATTGTTCTTGTGTGTCCTAAATATGGCTCTTTGGAGACCTTGGGAAAATGCTCCAAGCCACGAGGAGATGGTTGATGAACCTGTGCAGGCAGAATTCTTTCATAAAGATTTAGAGGAACAGACCCAAAGAGTAATCCTAAATATGTATGATTGTCTAAAAACGAAAATCCAGATTCCTCGCAAAATCAAATTTTAAACAGAATTTGTATCCTCACAAAAATAAGTCGGTCTACCATTTAGCGGGTTATAAAAAGGGGAGATGTAGTCAACCATTCCTTCCACAGAAAGCGCATAGGGCAAAAATTAAAAAGAATAGACGTGGGTTTTCAGGAAAATATTCGTCGTATAATATACGGATTTTATAAAGAAAATTTGGTGCCCACGTTGGAAATGATACGGGATAAATTAAAAGGTTATCCTGAAGATTTTTATAATTACAAATGCTTAGACTCACTGCACTGTATTGTAAAACTGTGTGGTTTTCAATACAAAAAATTAGATAAAAGAATGGTGATTATGGAGTCGTCTCGAATCGTTGAATTGCGCCAAGAATTTTTGCACAAAGTTAAAATCTATAGAGAGCAGAAAAGAAATCTGATTTACCTGGATGAAACGTGGTATGATACCCATGATGTTGTGCAGTACGGCTGGGTTGACGACAGCAACAAGTGCATTTTAAATGCACCATGCAACCGTGGAAAACGAATCATTATTCTCCATGC